ATCTTCTTTAACCCCCAAGTAAATAAATTATTAAACTTACCCCACTAATTTCATAATTATAATCATGAATAGTCCAAAACACCCATTTAAATTTTAGCGGAAATCCGACCCAGGGTGGAGTTACGCAGCTTGTGACGGTCCGTCCTGCAGGTCTGTCACAAAGTTTAGAGAGTTAAATTCAGTAGTGAGGTTACGCAACTTGTGACGGTCCGTCGTATCTACGACGGTCCGTGCTGCAGTTCCGTCGTGAAGTTCAGAGAGTCGATCCCAGTACCCAGATTTCAGAGTTGAAGTGTTTTGGAACGAAGACCCTCGATAGACCGTCGTGCCTATGACGGCTCGTCCTACCTGTCGTCGAGGGTAATGAGGAGAGCAGCAGAAGAAATTACACAAGTATGGGACGACGGAGTCCATCACGGTCCGTCGTGACCATGACGGTCCGTCGTGTGACCGTCGACCCAGTCAGTTTTTATCAAAAATAATTCTACTGCTCAAATCGACTAAACAGGTTGTTACACCTGCTTTATGTGAGTTTTCGCGAGAGATATACATATATACTCGTGATTTATTTTTGAGATTAACGGATGCACGTGCAACCCTATCAAATCATGTGGGTCCGCCTCTGCTTGGTACCTAGTGACTCTAAATCCTAGATCGCCTCTAAGCAATATTGCACAATTTTTATTTTTATTTTGAAATCGCGATTTTTGTTATTGTTTTTCTAAACAAATCAGTGCCAAAGCAGCGATTTTAGTGAAATTTTAATTTTTTATTTATGTATTTTAAATCGCTGCATTTGCAGCGTTTTAGTGAAATTAGTTTTTCTTTTTTCTTTTTAAATTATGAATTGAAAATAGTTGCATTTGCACCAATTTTAGTTATTTTATTTTTTTAAGTAAATCACTACAAAAGCAGCGATTTTAATTTTTTTTAATATTGTTTTGTAAATTCGCTGCAAATGGAGCGATTTTTAGCCTTTTTTTTCATTACAAATTTTTAGTTTTCCTTTTTAAAAATTAAAACTCTTTTTTTATAAATATTTTAGCCAATTATATTATGATTTAAAAAAATAATTGGCTGAAATATGTATAAAATAAAATAATTAAAAAAAGAAGTTTCAATTTTAAAAAAAAATCCACTAAAAATTTGTCAAAAAAAAAGAAATAACTAAAAATCACTGCAAAGGCAGCGATTTACAACACCATTTTAAAAAAGAAATACTAAAATCGCTGCCTTTGCAGCTAGGGCTGTGTATCGGTCGGTTCGGTTCTAAAGTCTCTCGGGTTGGCTTATTGGTTATCGATTTGTAGAGATGTTAAACCGTTATTGAACCATTAAGATATTGAGTTGTCAATTATTGGTTTATCGGTTTATCGGTTTTTCATCGTTATCGGTTCGGTTATCGGTTTAACCGTTAAGATTTTACACGAAAGAAAAAATATTAAAAATCACTTAGAAACAAGGTGACAAACCAAATAAACCATGCACTTGAGTTCACAAGTTACATCTTGCTCAAAAGCAAACACTTTTATATCATAGAATAATCAAGTGTTTGAGACAACCAAAAATAAAAGTAGGAAATTAAACTCTAAGTCGAGGATTTCATATACCAAATGATATATATAATTATTTAATTTACTATCGGGTTATCGGTTAACCCGTTAAGAAAAAAACTTTAAACCGTTAAAGAACCGATAACCCGATAACAAAAAAGTAAATCAAAAACCATTATCAGAACCACTATACCAATAACCCAATACTATAAACCAATAACTTTTTTATCGGTTCGACTTATCGATTTCAATTCGATTTTGAACAGCCCCACTTGCAGCTATTTACTAAAAAAAAAAAAATTCGCTGCAAAGACAGTAATTTACATTTCATAATAATAATAAAAAATACTAAAATCATTGCAAATGCAGCGATTTTACCGTTTTGATCAGAAAATGTTTTGATATACCTTTTTAAAATTTTTATTAATTTTTTTTTGCCCTTTGAACTCCAAACTCAATTTTTAAATCAATTTTAATTAACTTTTAAGCCCATCCAAATAGCCTCTATGACATGCCATTATCAGGAAGTTGATATTCAGCTCTCTCTCTATATTAGCATCCTAATAAGTAAAAGTTGCCTACTTGCGGCGTGATTGCGCGAGTTTGATTCCCTATAATCAACTTATTCTTTAGAGTTGAACTTTTTCAAAAATTGCTATTACTAATATATGTTTTTGCCACCTCATCTGGCCCACTTGCATAATTCTAAACAAACTAGAAAATCTACATGCAACTTACCATTTTAATTGTAAATGATGAAGATTTAAAGAATAATTGTCATGCAATTTCATTACGGCTTAACCATAGCGTAGAGTGTTGGTCTTCCTCCGATTTTTTTCTTTAGTGAGGTTATAGCTTTGCAAAACAGCAGAAACATTGCTATTGAATGGATGATGGAGATTGTTAATCCTTGGCTGAGATTAGATGATAATAAGAAAACTTTGATCCTCAATATTTGTATATAAATTCATCATCATTGAAATAGAACCTATATATATACTCACATTCTGCTTATAGAATTGTCATTGATACTGCAGCAGATCGGAGCTTCAAACCATCCTCGGCCCATTTGCTTTCGGGGGCCGTGGCACCAGCAATGACGGCCTGCAAAACCAAATTGGAGATTTCAAATTATTATACTACAACATAACCATTTAAGATTGATGAATACATAATAAAGGGTAGGGTACAACAATTTATTAATATAGGCGATCAAGCGTATTGTTAATATACCTTTCCACTGTTAACACCAGCCACTAATGCAACGTGTTGCTCATTTCTCACAAATTCATAAAAATAGTATGTCCTGAAAAACAAAACATTAATTCTACTGAATTTTTAAAGTCAATTATTGTAATTAAAGGGGAATGTATGTTTCATGACTGTCAAAATGAGAGACGATTATACAAATACCTCCATAATTTTACCTAATATCTCCATAATTTTACCTAGCGGAGAGAAAAAACTCGTACTTTCCTTTTGATTAGATTCAAAAATAAGAATTAGATTATTGCATTCAGAGAAATAAATCATGATTGTCGAAATGAGAGACAACGTTAAAAGTATTTTTATCGTTTTATGTTGCAATAAGTATAAAAAAACTTGAAAGAGAGGAACTGTTCACAATATCGTTAACTAATAAAAAATGTACTCTTTCGAATAACTTAAGTTCTTAGATGAGATGGTCACATCTTTCAACATGGTATCAAAGATGTTTCGGGATCGAATCTCACCCCACCCAAACTAAAAAGAATTTTCACCGACATAGAATCTCACTCACCGCCACCAAACTAAAAAAAATAATCAAGACAAAAGTCCTAAGATCGAATCTCACCGCCATCCAAACAAAAAAAAAATTTCGTCAGCATGAAGCGTATTGAGAATATCATTAACTAATAAAGAATTTTCGCATGTACGTTAGGGGCATGTTTAAAATATCATTAAATAATAAAAAAAAAAATATATGTTATCTCTAACATCTTTAAAATTTTAGACACGCTTCTACATGAAAATCTTATAACGGGGCCAACTTCAAAATTTGCCATTGATGGAAAATCTTTTAGACCAAAAAACGCTTACTGTAATAGACAAAATATTACAAAATTTTAGACTTTAAGTTATTGTTAATTCTGTGACATATATATAATTATTAATTAAAGTAGTCATCCTATAAAGATGTTTGTATGAACATACCTGAAACCCTCATCTTCTTTAATTTTTATTGTGCGGACAGAATATAGTGTTGAGCCAGCTGTCATACTGATAATCAGTAATTAAGAAAGGGAGATATAATTTTACTAAAGATGAATGTTGCAAAACAAAATGAATGTGCCAAGGCCATTTGCAATTATACCTGGAACAAATATTTTTGCTGCCTCCTTAAGTGAACCTAAATCAGTAATATCTTTAGCCTGTTGAAGTTGTATAATACAATCATCAACTTTTTTTACATCCACAAAATAAAGATTGAATTAAGTAACTATATTGCCCTAACACAACACAAACCTCTAAGAAAGTGATCTTCAGCTGATTGGATGGACGAATTATGACACTTAAAACTTCGGATCTGTATATCACAAAATCGACAATAATGTATTAAACTATACGAATAATTATAATAATCATCAAATTTGTTTAATTGTAATTTGCATTTCATAACTTATCAATATTGAAAATAAAATAATGATTATCATACTCTTCTCCAACATGAGCAGCCCAATCTGATAATTTTTATGTAATTATATTATGCAATTTCCATTACAAGTCATGAATTGTTGATTTATACTTTTTTGCAACAAATATTTTTTGTGGGAAAATATAAAAGAAACTTCTCATAGAATTAATTAACAATAGATAAAAAGTGCTCCGTAAATAGTAGTCTTAGGTTATGTATAATATGGTAAGTAATTAATTCCAATAATAAGGTAAGTAAATATTTATAATCAAATTTTATGGAATATTTAGTATGCTTTTTCTTGCTTCACGAATACAATGCATTTAGAATTGTCTGAATATAAGATGCTGTTTCAAAGTTATAAAATATGTGGAATAAAAATACCGTAGTTTGGTTTATAAATGTCTTTTAAAGTCAATAAGTTTAGTAAAAATAGGTATTTTTATTATTGTATTATTTAATGGGTTAAATGTCTTTTCCAAATAAATGAATTATTTCTTTTCATCTTACACATTCTATTCTTAATGATGATTTTTCACTTAGGAAATATTTCTCCTACTTCAATTTGAAAAATATTAAGAAATGAAAATATTTTTTTTATCTTATAAGAAATTATTTGTTATTATGTAATGAAAATTAATGACGTGATTACTATTAGGGCCCATAATAATTACTATGAGAGCATCCTGATAAAAAAATTACTTTTAGAAAATCCTACTCTTTTTTTTTTTACAAAAAAATTCTTTGACTAATAAATAAATAAGAAATAGTCTTTTTTTTCTTTTTAAATCGCATTTTAAATGTTAAAATAGAATAACTCCATATACCATTTTAACTGATAATATAGTGCATAAGATCATAGTAATCTGTCATTAGTTTTTGTTATGATGACGATAACTTTTTTAATAAAATAGAAAATATTTTTATTTCTTATATTTTCCGAATTGAAGTTTGAGAAACAATTCTAACTAAAAAATTACCATTAGGAAAATAATGTGTTTGGTATGAAGGAAAATGTTTTTCATGGAAAATGTTTTTCTGGAAAACAAGTAGATCTTTGGCTTATTTTCTCATGTTTGGTTGGTGAGTAGAAAATATTTTTCGAAAATAATTTTTAGTGTTTGATTTATGAATGAAAAATGTTTATGAGAGATATCTTTTATTTTTACTAGAGTAGAAAATAATTTATGAAATTAAAAACATTTTTTAAAAATAATTTTTATTTGGGATGGTGATGGGGAAGGGGTAGGAGTGAAAAAATAAAAATTTAAACTTAATAGCATTTTTAAAAATCAAAATTAATTTTTTTGGGGGGTTGGGGGTGGGTGGGAGGCTGGCCGGGGGGGGGGGGTTAGAAGTTTAAAAAAGAAAATTGAAGTTGAAAATAATTTTAAAAAGCAAAATTATATTTTTGGGGAGGGGGTGGGGTTGGGGGGGGGGGGCTGGCCGGTGGTGGGTGGATGGGGGTCAGGAATCGGGTAAAAAAATAAAATTTTCATTTTTTTTAAAAAAAAATTGTTGTTTTTTCCAAAAAAAAATATATTTTGAAATTGGAGGAGAGTTTTGGAAAATATTTTCCTTAATATTTTAAAGAAGTCATTTTTCTTAAATTTGAGGAAAATGAGTTAATTTGGAAAACATTTTTCAAAAATTTTGTCCCAACCAAATATGAGAAAATCAAAAATATTTTCCAGAAAATGTTTTCCTTCATACCAAACACACTCTTAAAAAATAATACATTTGTCTGGAAAGAGATATTTTTGACCCATATATTCATTATAATAATATTTTTGAAATCAAACTATTGGTGGCATATATATAAATTTGGATTAGATTATCGACTGAGGACATTTTTATTCAGTTACATAGTTTAAAAACATTTTTGATTCATTAAGTAACAATAATGACATTTATGAATCAAATTATTGATGACAAAGATATTTTTGGACCATACTATCAAGTGAGAACATTTTAATACAAGCATAAAAGTTAAGAAAAAAATGATTGGAAAGCATTACTTTAAGTCAAAAGCTAAAAATTAGGTGAGAATGTCTTTTTTTTTTCAACTTAATAATTATTTTATGTTGACCAAATATATTATCTTTTTGTCATTAATTCTATTATTATTATATTTTTATATTATATTATTATTATTATTATTATATTATATTATTATTATTATTATAATTTTTATTATTATATTATTATTATGTCATTATTATATATTATATGTTATTGTTATTATTATTATTATTATTATTAATAATAATTTATGATGATAAAGAAATATGTGAATGATAGGAAATATTATTAATTATGGATGAAAAATATAAATTTATTTTGTTTTAATTTTTTTATGGATACAAATCTTAAATTAATCAACTTTTTATTATGTTAACAACTTTAAGAGTATTTCAGACATTTCGATAAAAAAAGTGCTTACCCGCACTTATTTGCCAATCACATCAACAACTTTGTAGTATTTTTATCCAAACACATAACTACTTATCTTAAAAGTTATTTTTTTAAGTCAATCCAAACAGATAACTACTTATTTTTAAAATACTTTTTAAAAGTTATTTTTTTTAAGTCAATCCAAACGAACACTACGAGAAGGAAAAAATTGAAATTGAATTGGAATATGTACCCATCAGAAGAAGCAAAACGTGCTGCAAATTTTTTGGGCTTAGCCTTATCTCCATATAGTGATAGGCCAGCATTATAATCCTGGAAAAATCATGTTAATTAGTCAACCTTTTTGTGTTTAAACATAACATTTCTCATTAATATATTATTTATGTTATCATTTCATAGTCTCTCTAGTTTGTACCCGACTTCTTTGATAGGTTGTTCATTCAAAATATTTACGTATAACACTATAGAACGATAAAGAATAATGATATAATCAAATCAAATATAATATTCATTAAAAAATACAATACATTATGAAATCATATAGAAACCAACCAAGGATTATTGTTTTAAACTAGACATGAATTGATAACGAGGTGAAAAAAGAGCAGGGTTCGAAATTACAATTTTAATGTAAAAAACATTTTTACGATCTCTCTTTTATCATTGAACCATCAATTAATTTGATTAGGATCTCACAAGTTAATATACATACATTAAATTTTTAGTATAAATAACTTGTGTTAAAAACAAACAAACTAGTTTGTCCAAATTCACAAACATCACTTATCTCTGCCTCTAAAAAAAAATTAGGTGTTGCATAGTAGTAAAGGGGCCAAAAAGGGAAAGGAGCATACCTCCGGCTCAGTGAGGTCCTGAAATTCCGGTGGAACACGAATAGAAAAGCCGTCGCCATAGAATTGGAACCAAGACTTAGTATTGGCAATACCTGAAAGAAAACTATTGGAATTGGTTTGGGCGTCGGATTTTGGAATTAATTGAGAGAGCAATAAATTAGAACCAGTGAAAAACACTTGTCTTCTCGAAATAGAGTTAGGTTGGGTACACATTGAATTGGGTTTTTGCAAAGGTTTTGGTGGGTGGATAGACACGGACAGGGAGAGGAGCGTGGACATGGCCATGAGAGGGTGAAATTGGGGATGCTATGCTATTACATGGTTGCTAATGGTTTAGAGATAACGTGGGGACACCTAACACCCTTTCCTTATTATTACTATACTATTATCGTGGAAAACTTACGTGAAAAAATAAATTTATATCAATAAATTATTTAAAATAGCTATTGTTTATTTTATTTTATCATTGGTCATTTATTTTTTTGTCATTATTATGATTGTTAGTTTTGTATAAACGTGTCTTTTGCTCCTTGCAAACCTCCGTTCACACACTATTTGTGAGAGTCCTGCAAATTTATTTTTTTAACCTTTTTCACTACAAATTCAAAATTCAATCTTTGCCTCTCAATTTGTTCTCTCAGATTTTTCAGGTAATTGTTTTCTCGATTTCATGCTTATTTCATTATTTTGTATTGTATATGAATGCAATTTTTTTTGTTCCTTTTCAGTATTTTTGTTTTATACATCCAAAATCATGGATGAAGAAGAAGCACCTTCTAAGAGAACCACTAGAGATATACAACCGAATCAATAATTTTGTATGTTTTTCAATCTTTTTCTTTGCGTTTAACTCAGGATTTCGAAGAAATTTCAGGATCCTTTGTTAAATCTCGAATTAATCAACAAGAAGGTATGTTAAAGTTTGGTAATACCCATTAAGAGCAAGAAGTCATGCATGTTGCAAAATCTAAAGGGAAGAACAAAAAAGTGGATAAACATAAAGAAGACAAATTTCTTGATGTTTTTACTTCAAAGAAGAAGCGAAAAGTAAAAGAGATTGCATCTACAAGCAATAAACAAGACAAATCAGTTGAAGTTTTGATTTCAAAGAAGAAGCATTAAGTAAAAGATATTGCATCTATAAGTAATAAAGAAGATGCCCAATCTGATTTAATTGAACAACTACATTTTGAAGAATTAAGGTGAACTGAATATGTTTGAAGTTCAGATCTAAAGTTGTATGCATATCTTTAACTGTTTGAATATATTTATATCTTTATATACAAAAATGAAATTTTATATTTCAGTTGTTGTTGTCATTGTTATTTGATATTTGTGTTATACTTATTTTCAAATTGTATAATTTTTTTTGTTTCACAGTTGTATCCATATTTGTATAACTTTGTATTTGTATATAGATATTCACTTTGTATAACTTTGTATTTGTATATAAGTATTTATTTTGTATAAGTCTGTATTCGTATATAGATATTCATTTTGTATAAGTACGTACTTCTATATAGATATTCACTTTGTATAAATTCGTATTTGTATATAGACATTCACTTTGTATAAATCCGTATTTGTATACATATATTCACTTTGTATAGTTCTATTTTTTATATACTGTTTTTGCTATATGTCTTGTATAATTATACATTTGAAATTTTATAATACATTTAAATTATTTATTAGGGAGTACCATTCTCAAGGAAGATCCACTTTACGCCCCACACATGCAATGATATATCAATATTGGGGTAATGAATCAATTACGCTCCAAATTGCCTGAAGTTGCGTTCAATCAATTTTGCGCATCATCTTGTCTTTGCTCAAATATCAAGCATGCATTATAATCATGTTTAAGCACAACTGTTTAAATGTTTTATGTTTGCAAGAGGTAGAGGGTAGTTCTTCTAATGCCATTATGATTTACATAAATGGTACCACTCTACGTTTCACCCGTAGAGATTTCTGTCTTGTTTCTGGGCTTAAATACAGTGATGATCTATCAAAATTTGTGTTTAACACTGAAGAACCAAATAGACTTCTTCAGATCTATTTTTCAGAAAAAAAATAGTGTATTTTTAAAACAGAATTTGTTCAAAGTTTGAATAATAATGTATGGGGTGACAACGATGATGATGCGTTGAAGTTTAGAATTCTTATTTTATACATTCTTACATTCTATCTGAAGAACCATTCTCTACAACAATTGATGAAATCGACTTTGACTTGGTAGAATGTGAAATGTTAAATTCATTTGTAGATTTTTAGCATTACATATACCCACATCCGCGTCACATTGTGTATCATCATTTTTGTATTGCTCTGATCAACCTTATATTCAATTCTTAGTATCTTCACAGTCACATCCACATATAGTTGAGTGCAATTATATTATATAACTCTGTAAAAAAGACATTTTCTCTAAAAAAGACATTTTCCAGAATGCATTACCAAGATAGCTATGGAAGACATTCCTGTATACAATTAAATATCATTATAAATCAATTTTTATCAATCCATTTATACATATACTAATTAATACAATTTTACAAATCAAAATCACTTTATAACAACTAATTTATACAATAATTAACACAATACAATTCTTCCAAGTTTTTAATACAATAAATCACTGAAACAACTCAATTATATAACTACATATATAAAAGTCTACATTTATATCAACACTAACTTATACGAACGCTAACTCCACATAAACTACAACTATCAATGGATTATACATATCCAAATATCAATTCAACTAAAACTTATTTATGCAATTTTACAAATCTTAATCGCTTTATACAAACTAAATTATACAAAAATTACCGTTATACAATTAATTACCGAAACATCTCAGTTATACATCTACAAATATAAAAGTCCACATTTATACGAACACTAACTTATACTGACACTAACTACAACTATCAATGAATTTTACATATTCAAATCACAATTCAATTAAAACTAATATATATAATTTTACAAATCTAAATCACTTTATACAACTAACTCTACAGGAAACAATTGAATCATACATTCAATCAAAGCTTCGATTATTGATTATGATTTGATTTTTGATTAAACAGTTTATACAATTGAAGTAGTTTCTTCGACCTAAATATCAATCGATTCAATCGAATCTCCAGAGAATCAAACAGAAAAGAGATGAAACTACATACCTAAATCGAATCGATTCATGGTATTATGTACCTGTTGTATAATCAATGATGAAATCGACGTGGATTCGATGATCTCAGAAGAAAAGTGAGTTGTCGACAACGATTTTGGATTAGAGGTACTCAATTCTGTTGCAGAAGGAAGATATATGGGTATGATTTATAACAAGCGAAAATTAAGGGATTTATATCCTCTGAGATTACCGCCATTTACTTTTAAAAAATTCGAATTCCTTTTGTATAAGATATTACAGCTGTAGCTACTAGCTGTTTATCATTATGAAACTTTAGCTAAATTAAATAATAACTTTAGTTATAGTGGCAATTTGTGAAAGTTTTCCAATTATTATATGCTGAGAAAAGACATAAAGAGACCATCGAAGTTGTCCCATATTTGCATAAAGACACCTAAACTTTTGAAGTGTCCTATCACACCACTAAACAACTATATATCGTTGTAAATTGGCTATTTTTAGTCATTCCATCGTCTATGTAATGCGCGTGTTGCTCACTCTCTAGGTAACCCGACCCGATCCTTTTTTTTGAAGATAATTCGTCAACTTGTTTTCATTTCATTTCTCAACTTTTCCCTAAAAAATCAAACAAAATACATTGTGTTCTTGTTGTTGACGATAGTGTTGTTGTTGACATTCTCGCTGTTGATCGTTGTTGATGTGTATTTGTGAAGATTCTTGGAGATTGAAGGTCTAACATGTTAGGGTTCTAAAATCTGTACTTTTTTTCCGATTATTCTGATTTTATGGATTATTATAGTGTAGAAGTGTTGGAATCGACCTCCTACAGTTGCCATTGTTAGGATATTTTTGAGTATGTTGGGTAATCGACTTAGTTAGTGTAGGGTATTGTGTTATTGACTTAGTGCAACTGTTAGTGATTACGATTTTGTGATTGTGTTTTAGGTTAGGGTTAGATGTTATCCACTTAGTTCGAATCTTATTATTTGTCTCTTATACATTTGTAGACTTTAATTTGTACACTAACAACTGCTATTGTTAGTGTTTTTGTTCTGTTAGTACTGTTAAAGCTTAATGTTAGTGCTTTATTCTACTTTTGTTAGTTAGTATTTCTGTTGTTGTTTGTTAGTGATTATGTTTGTTGTGTACAACTTGTTAGAGTTAGTTATTGAAATGTGTATTTGAATTGTGTTTGTTGTTGTTACATGATTTTTCAGGATGGCTTTTACTCTTATAACTTTAAGATGGTATCATGGGGGGGAAATAGATTTTGGTCCACCATCTAAATATATTGGGGGGCATATGACAGAATTCTTAGATGTAGATGTTGATAGGATGTCTTATTTTGAGTTGAGGGACTACATAAAGGAACTAGGATATACAATAGATTGTGATTTTTTCATCAAGTGGGATGGGTTATTGGTCCTTGTTGATAATGACAAGGTTATATTTGACCTTTTCAATATGGTGAATGATGGGGATACAGTGAAGGTGTATGTTTTTCATGGGGTTAGTGAAGCTAATCAGGCCCCACTTGAATTGGAGTTTGTCCCCCATGTGACTGAAAGTGGGGTAGGTGAGGAATCTTTTAATGAGACTTCTAACCCTAATAATCAGCCTCCTACTTCTACTTTTCCTTCCATCCCTACAACTGGTCCTCCTGAAACTTCTAGCACTCCATTTGAAGCTCAGTCTTCTACTGTGCCTCCACCATCTCCTTCTATTGTGCCTCCTCCTTCATCTGATTATCCTAAAATAGATGATGATCCAACTGATGATGAAGTGGAAGATGAATCAAGATCTGAAGGGGATACTACTGAATGTACTGAGGTTGACAGTGATGTTCATCAAGAGTATGTAGATATAAGGGAAACCAAGAGTGGCGGTGACAAGATATGCAATCCAAGAACATATTCAAATTGAAAAGTATGTAAATGAGCCTGGCAGAGTTAGAGTGAGATGTTGTAAAGAGAGTTGTCCTTGGTTGTTGTGTGCAAGTAAGGATAAAACTAGTGGAGATTTCATTGTTAAAACATACAACCCTATCCATAAATGTTTGACATCAACTCATAACTACCTGTGCAACTCAAAGTTTTTGGCCACCAAATACAAATAAAGAATAACTCAACAGCCAAACATCAGCATTGTCTTGTTGCAAGACATTATTAGAAAAGAGTTGGATATTAATGTTGGTAGGACAACAGTGAGAAGAGCTAGGACTAGAGTGTTACAAGAGATCATGAGTGATCACATTATGGAGTATGGTAGGATTTTTGATTATAGAGATGAAATATTAAGGAGTAATCCAGGTAGTACTTGTGTAGTGAGGGTTGGAGAAGATTCTGAAACTGGGCAGAAAATTTTTGAAGGATTTTATGTTTGCTTCAATGCTTTAAAGAAAGCATTTTTTGGAGGTGCTAGAAGGTTGATTGGTTTTGATGGGTGTTTTCTCAAAGGTGTGTGTAAAGGCCAGTTGTTAGTGGCAGTTTGTAGAGATGGAAACAACCAAATGCTCCCTATTGCTTGGGCAGTTGTTGAGGTTGAGAATCAGTATACCTGGACATGGTTTCTTGAACTAGTGAAGAATGATCTTGAACTTGGTGAAGGGCATCAACTATCCATAATTAGTGATATGCAAAAGGTAATTACTGATATCCATCTTACTATTTTATTGTTGTTGAGTTTTGCACTTTAATTGATTCTTTTTCTGTTATGTTGGTTTGTTAGGGACTAGAAATTGTTGTGGATACTTTATTGCCACTTGTTGAACATAGAAAATGTGCAAGACATGTTCTTGCAAATTGGTCAAAAAATTGGAAAGGAGTTGAAAGAAGAAGAGTGTTTTGGAGGATTGCTAAATCCACATTTGAAGCTGAGATGAAGGACAATATAGAGACAATGAAGAAATTAGGACAAGAAGGCTTAGATAATATTTTATGGTACAATTTGAATACATGGTGCAAGAAATATTTTGAAGAATATAGCAAATGTGATGTTGTGGACAACAATATGGCAGAAAGCTTTAATGCTTGGATAGTGTCTGCAAGGTATAAAACCATCATTACAATGCTTGAGGAGATAAGGGTGAATATGATGAAAAGAATTGGTGATTTGAGAGAGTTCTCAAACACTTGGATCACTGATATATCTCCTATGTCTTTGAAGATTTTGCAAGAAAACATTCAAAAGTCTATGCAATGTAACTTGACTTGGAATGAAGAAAGAGGTTTTGAGATTAAACACCATGGGTTTACACACACTGTGGACAT